AAGAAAGAGGTCTGAAATCATCACATCATACCTTTGCAACACTAATAGTTGGTTGCTCCATTGCTTCATGTATACAGGATCTGTCCCTATCATTAATACTATTAAACTCATCTGTAGTATGAGAAATAGGAGAAGGGAGAACAAAAAGAAGCAAGAGAAAGAAAGTGAAAATTTGCTTGTTTGTTAACATCATGCTTACACATATCTATGCAACATAGTCCACCATCAGCTAATACTAAAGCACCAGCTTAATTCTAACTGCCATTCACTGCCATCCTATTAATATATGATCACAGTGTTAAAAGGATATAGTCATTGTACATATACATGCAGTTCATAGTGTGTAGGGATTTGGAGTCTGATATCAAACATACACATCAATTTACATTTGTGAATTTGTTGGAAATTCGTACAAAATTTTTGATAAAACTATTTGTGAACATCGCAACAAATTTAGAGCCAAAAGGCTATGCGTGAATATTTCACTCATCAGAGGAAAAGATATTGTTTTTGCCTTCTTGGAGAAAATTTTTAAAATCCCTTTAAAAAGCTAAGTCGTCCAGCTAGCTAGAATTCTTGATTATCGTACAATTTCTAATATACATGTATTATGCTTCATAACAGGTTTGAGCTGATTTTAATCAAAGCCAGATACTTAAGAATTCTCACAAAAGTTGGTTAAAGACGTACAAAAAACTATTATTAATTATTACCTTAACAGCAGCAACAGTGAGTCCAGTACTAGTAGTACCCACTCCAGTAGTTAATATAGAACGAGGACTGAGACTTGAAGCAAACTTGAAAAACTGAGATTTTCCAGTGCCTAAAGAAACAAGACAAAACACAGTTCAGTAAGTGTAAGGAAGACTGACTACTGAAATAGGAAACAAGGTGGCAAACAGTTGAAGAAATAGTATTAGGAATCTTTCATAAGGACATCAATATGCATTAGAAAATGTAACAAAAATTAGGGGTAATTTTGAAGGTAATTTTTGCAAAAACAACCAAGGGCATTTTCAAAAATTGGGCTTTAAAAATGCACATAACTCAAAATTTTACAAAGAAATTAGCTCAAACACACAACAAAAGGACATTAATATGTATCAGAAAAAGTAATAAAAACTGGGGGTGATGTCGGAGCCATTTTTTGCAAAAAACCATGGGCTATAGCCTTGGGTATTTTTCAGAATTTGGCCAATTTTTTAAAATGCTCATAATTCAAAAAATTTAAGTCGGAATCAGTTCAAACTTTCTACACAGCATAAGGACATCAATATAGAAAACTGGGGGTGATTTCGAAGCCATTTTTTGCAAAAAACCATGGAC